CGCTTTTCAGTATTCTTCATCTGCGCCTGGTAATGCATCTCAAATTTGAGTCTCCATCTGAGAAGTAGACTTTGACTTTTCTTTCTGTCTGGTTAGTTGTGAAGAGAGAAGACATTTAATTCCATCTAGAACGTTTCTTCGTCTTGTGTTATCCATCGTCTAATACTTTGTTGACCTTCGACTTGTAGTACACTTTGTCTTGTATTTATTGTATTTTCGTCTGGCTTTTGATCAAGCTTAGTCTTGATGCTTGATCAACCATCGTCTGATATTTGTTGTACAGCTCAACTAGGCTTCGTTTGGTTTAACCATAGTATGTGTAATAACATGTACTTCATTTTTCAGTTTTGCATGTTCTTATATTTATCTGAAACACTAACACACATGTTAGAAATAACATTATGTATTATATTTGTCATGTTCAAAACTTTGTTCGTAATTGTTTCGTCTAACTTAACACTTCATACACCAATCGCTTCTTCCCAATCACTTTCTCTACTTCCTCTTGGGCTTTCTTCAACACCTTTGGATTGTTCAACAATTCTGTTATGCTCATTCTACTGAGATGATTGTTGTGTCAGTAGCTGTCATAAAATAATCCTAAAAAATTAATTAATAAAAAAATATTAGAAATTATATGTAACATTTAACCACGAGGTATTAGTTATTTAATAGCTTCCACGTAATGAGACTAAATTGACGAGATTATTTATTTTACTAGGAGTTTGCAACCATGCACTCCATACTATTAATTTGAAAATAGTTGGATTCCACTTCATGCAAGGGAGATTCGTATTATTATCCATTATCACTATAAGAAAAATGTAAATTTTTTACGAATATAATCCATCAATAAAAATGAATATTCGCCGAAAAAAAATAATTTTTGACAGATTTCTGACGGATACAAATCTAACTATCTACATTTAACATATTTTCATTTGTCAAAAATTCTTTTTTTTTGACAAATATTTTTTTTATCAATAGATTATGTCCGTCAAAAAATTATTTTTTTTCTTGTAGTATATTCATTAAATAATATGTTCAATTTTTAACATGTAACAAGTTGAATCTTATATATAAAAATATGTACTAAAATTCATTTGTAAGGTACAAGAAGAAGCTACGTACCAAGATCAATGATTTGACATGGTTTTGAGATAACTTGACCTCGCAATCTTTCTGCTCAGCTACATCCAACAAAATGTCAAGAAAATCTATCACTTTCTCATTTCCATCTTCGCAACCTTCTACCTTTGATTTACTTCTCAATTCCTCGCGATCAGAGATTATCTTCTCTAGCAGAGCATCGTACCTAGCTCCTATGTATATCCATTGCTCTCTTCCAAAGCCCTTGCTTGTTCTGCTTGGCTGTCTGTTCCCAAGCTCTTGATGCTCAACATCATCTGCGATATTATGTTGTTGGAAAGCATCAAAAGTGCTTCAGTGAGGTTCACGCTCTTATGGGCCCTTGATCTGTCGAATAGAGTTTGAATGAATTCATGAAGTTGCCTGTTGGGATTCATCCCAAGTCCCACATCGGTAAAATGAAGGAACATTGGCTAGTTTATAAGTGTCCACCATTCCACATAGTATGAGGCCTTTTGGGAAGGAGCCCAAAACCAAAACCGTGCGGGCCTAGCCCAAAGCGGACAATATCATACTATGGTGGGGGAACAGGTGGACTATCGGGCCCTACAAGTGGTATCAGAGCCAACGGTTCGTCTGGGTTTGATGCGGGAAGACCCTCAGTGTTGTGCCTCGCGATGGAGATTCGAACTTGGTGCCTTGTGTCGAAAGTCTTCCTGATATTGTGGTGTTCAGGCGGCGTGTCCCGTAGAGTTAACGGCGGTACAAGATGGTGACGGATTATCGCTTGAGGGGAGGAGATCACGAGACATGTGGTCCTTGGTCTGAGGGGAGGTTTGTTGGGATTCATCCCAAGTCCCACATCGGTAAAATGAAGGAACATTGGCTAGTTTATAAGTGTCCACCATTCCACATAGTATGAGGCCTTTTGGGAAGGAGCCCAAAAACAAAACCGTGCGGGCTTGGGCCCAAAGCGGACAATATCATACTATGGTGGAGGAACGGGTGGACTAGCGGGCCCTACAAGTGGTATCAGAGCCAACGGTTCGTCTGGGTTTGATGCGGGAAGACCCTCAGTGTTGTGCCTCGCGATGGAGATTCGAACTTGGTGCCTTGTGTCGAAAGTCTTCCTGATATTGTGGTGTTCAGGCGGCGTGTCCCGTAGAGTTAACGGCGGTACAAGATGGTGACGGATTATCGCTTGAGGGGAGGAGATCACGAGACATGTGGTCCTTGGTCTGAGGGGAGGTTTGTTGGGATTCATCCCAAGTCCCACATCGGTAAAATGAAGGAACATTGGCTAGTTTATAAGTGTCCACCATTCCACATAGTATGAGGCCTTTTGGGAAGGAGCCCAAAAACAAAACCGTGCGGGCTTGGGCCCAAAGCGGACAATATCATACTATGGTGGAGGAACGGGTGGACAATCGGGCCCAACATTGCCAAGTCCGAATAGGTAGGAACTATCCAAGGGTTTGGTTCCCCAAGAGTTGAGTAGTGCTAAGCTTTTTCAGGAATTTCCAATAAGTGTCATACGGGGCAAAAGCAAAAGTGGCATTATGGTAGGTAACCATGTTGATGGCCATGTTCATTTTACGTGAAGAGTATATAAGCTCGTTAGTTTTGAGAAACTCTTTCGGAGTGATGGGGTGCTTATAACCATGTATCGAACAGAATCAACTCGTAGGGAAAAAAGAGGTCCATAATAATATAAATTTTAGCTATTTTTCTTCGATAAGAACTTCTTTGAGAATTTTCTTTTAAACTAATGTTTTAAATTTTTAATCATATTTTTAAATTAAATATTAATATTTTAAAATAAATTATCAATAATTTAAAATTTTCTATAATAATATAAAAAATATTTATTTAATATTATTTTCAATTAGTATATTTATATATTGAAAATTTTTTATTATAAATTTTAACTACATGAAATAAAAAAATTGAAAGTTATTGATACTTTTTAAATTTTAATATAAAATATAAATTATTGAGTATAATAAATTTAAATACACTTACTTTTAAAATAAGTAAACTTATATATATATATATATATATAATGATCGTAAAAATACTTCAATTTTTATAATATTAAGTAATAAAAATTACTATTAATATGATTTTAAAGATAAATATAATGAAAGTTAACAATTTTTTTCTAAAACAATTTCTCTTAATGTCATCCCCCATAAATGTTCTTAAATATAAAAATCAATCATCATAAATTTTACAAATAGAAAAGTCTAACATGTCATTCATAGTGTAAAAATTATTTTTATATAAAAATCTTCAAAAAAAATTCTATTTTATTTATAAAAAAAAATAAGTCTATTGTGAAACAAAAAATAGAAGAAAAAAATTCTTAAATAGTTTATAACATAAATAATTCTATAAAAAATACATTAAAAACTCAAAATAAATTCTATTATTATTGTGATACCCTAATTGTTTGATCACACTTACATTAGCATCACACCCCGTTAGACATAGTGATAAGATACTCTCTGAAAGCTGTAGTTTTCTGAAGGAAAAAGTTAAAAACCACTTTGGCGCATTATTTCTTCATTTGTCACTTGAATTAATTTAACACTTAACTACGTAGAGCTGCTTAACAAAGGACCTTGATCTAATTTATATCAAGGTCCGTACTTCATATCAAACTTTTTATGAAATAGATTAAATCAAAACATTTATTTGAAATTATTTAATGTAGAAGTCAGAAAAAAAATATTTTAAATGCAAAAGACCAACATATTTAAATAAAAACAAATCGAAACTTTTACTACAATAACTATTTAATTAAAATTTATATTTTATTTAAAAGGCTTATTACAAAATATATTTATAAATAAATTATCATCATAAATATCGCATTAAAAACACTTCAAATGTTCTCATATCATATAAATATATCAAAACCAGTTTTTATAAAACTTAAACCAGACTAAATTACATTTTTAATCTTTATTTTTGTTAATTTATAATTTTGATTCCTTTATTTTAAAATAATTTTTTTTAGAGATATAAAATTTCAGTCCTATCAACAATTAGATATTCATGAATCATTAAATTTAACATTATATAATAATCTATTACAACTGAAATGACTTGATACATAAAAACCTAACATATAAAGATAAAAATTTTAAAATAACATACAAAACTTTTTTGTTTGAATCTATTTTTACAAATGATTAATATTTATTTTATTAATAAAAATTTAATTTACATATTTTTGTTCAGTTTTTTATTTCTAAATGTACAAGTGTCACATTCCTTAAATATTTGTAAATGTTAAAAGTTAACAATTAGTAAATGTAAAAAAATTTATGAGATAATAAAAATTTTGTATTTTTAAAATTAGAAGAGTTAAATGTCTATTTAAAAAAAGAAAATTATAAATTGATAAAAATTGGGAGACTAAAAATAAAATTTAGCCTAAAAAATATCTAATTTCGATTCTATATTTATATATTATTACCACAATATGTCCTTACACATGCTTGTAAGTCAGGTCACACTTTTATATAAGTCACGCCTTTAAAATAAAGCAAATGACAAGTAAACATGTTAATGTTAATCTCATACCATGTCTAGAGGAATGCTAATAACATTAGTATGAATAAATCTCAATAAATAAACTACTAAACCTGACAGAATTTGTAGTTTCTAATAAATTTTAATCGATAGTAAACACTGTTAGCGATAATGACCAAGGTCTGACCCAGCCTAGTAAAGCCTGACTTACTGAAAATAAAAATAAAATATTATTATAAAAGAAAATATTTATTATATTAAAACCACAAAAGCCACACTACCTTTTTTTAAAAAAATGATTTAATGCATTTCAAAGATGAAAAAGGAAAAGAAAAGGCGGAGAATATAAGTTAAGTGAAAAGACACAAAAATAGAACCTAAGAAAACTGAAAAACTTTAAAATTATGTCAAATAACAAATAGAAAGCAACGTCAAAAAAATCACCCAAACTTGGATCGACATTACACCTTTAATGCATATTTTCTAATTGGGAAGTACATTTCTTTCTTCTTCTCACGCTCTGTCTTCAATGATTCCTGCGACAAATACAAAACAAATTCATTCAGCCATTCTTAAGTAGGAAGCCTACATGCCTATAAGGCTAGAAATACAATTAAAATGAGGGCCAAAACAACCTCAACAAAGATCGTCCTCAAAAATCAAAACAGATATCGACCAACTTAAATAGTGCAATCAAAGTCTATATATATCACCCCCCAACAAGATAGACAATCCAAAATTTCGTGCATGTTTGAAACTTCAGCAAGTAATTTACAAGCTAAAGTTTGAATAACATGCAATTGAATCATCACTTGCTTCAATAAAGTTAAAGTGATGCCATTGCAGTAAGATTCTTCAACTAACAAAGAATAAAGATATGATACAGCATAAGTGATAGGAACTATTTTAAAATTATAAATTTTAAGAGAAAGAGAGCCAATAAAAATAATTGAGAACTAAAACCGAATGAATTCACACATATATATGCTATGTTTTTATTGATTATGAATCTTTCAATTCATGATACGATTTGATTCATAATTCGGAAAATAGGCTTTCCAATACACAAATTGTATCCTGATTCAACTACCATGATATTTACAGACATTAGAAACGTATGTTATCCAAGAAAAATACAAGTCAATTGCAAATTTTCATCTAACATTTTGGACAGTATGGTGAAGCATGTTAGTCAAAAAGCAGACCTAACTTTTGGGGCACCATAAATTTTGGCCGAATAAAACACTTAAAGGAGCCATATCTCTAGATCATAACATGAGATGAAAGGGCATGATGATCCAACAAGTTCCATATAAAAACGACACTATACAGTATACACTATATTTAAACAAACAAAGCTTTCATCCAACTTGCTGACATTCAGAAAAGTTCAAAATCAATATCTAATTCAACCTTTCAGCCAAATTCAGAGCCAAGCACATCCTTATTAACTTTTTCATCATAGTCACACATTATCTCTACACTAAACAACACCTCAATAGCCTCACCCCTTGAGCACCCTTTCTACTGTCACCCGCATCAAGCTCATACCACTAACGTGTAAACAACATAAAATTTATCACAGAAAATGGAATGAAAGGTGCATACCTGGTGCTTTGTGAGGCGTCTTCTGATAGCTCTGGTCTTCTTGGGACGCAGATCCAAAGGCAAGTACTTCTTATTCTTGTAAGCTTCTCTCAACGCTGCTTTTTGCTTCTGCGAAATCACCGTCAGCACTTGCGCTATCGAAAGCCGAACCACTTTTCTGCATCATTCACACACACACAAATGCAATCAGATTTGAATAACAGAACAATGCTACATCAAAATTCACAAGAGAGGGTGAGAGAGCTCACATCTTCGAGAGCTTGTTTGGGGCTCCACCAGTGACCTTAGCGACACGGAGAAGAGCGAGTTCGGCTTTCAAATCCTTCAATTGGTTCAGAAGCTCTGCTTTCGTCTTGTTCCTCAGCTCGTAAACCTTGATTCTCGCTTTTAACATTCAAAATTAAAAGATTTAGATTTAACAACAAAAGAAAAGGAATATCAAGATCATGTTGGTAAAAGGTAAAAAAAAAAACATATTTAGCAGCACTTTGTGCAATAGGATTTGTTTCGTCCTACCCATTGCGAAGCGCTTGTGTCACTGTGAAACCCTAATTGCTCTGCTCTGTGTTCTTCTCAAAACAATGAAAGCAGAAAACCCTAATCAAATACAAAAGCTAATAGGCCGATTGAACGTATTTGCCTGGACCTGGGCCTTTGACGTTTAAACTGGGCTGGATTGAGCTAACCTCTTCGGTTTTTCCTTTGGGCCCAATTTAAGTTTGAGCTTTGAGGGCAGCGTTTTTGTATTATTAGGTAAGAAATAAAAAAGGCCATGGGAACCCGATTGTTGTTTTGGGCCTTCTATGCGTTTGGTACAGAAAATAAATAGTAATACTAATAGGACTTATTACAATGTTTCAAAGATAGTTGCTACTCGTACCCCTTAATTATTCTTTTTATATTCTCAAAATATTTCTCTTTCTTCTTACTTTCACCCTCATCACTTCCCTACAACCTCTCCATTGTACAGTCAACATCCCCATCTATTTTATTTGTTAAATCTAAATATCGTTTAGCCAATAGCTAACGACAAATTCTATGAACTATTATAATCTATTTAAAGAATTCATGTTTGTAATAAGTATTTTTTTTTTCATAAATCCTTCTTTCTTTCATCTTTATTCATGCCTTAATTAACCCTTCGACTCATGAAGAGAGACCCACAACTTTATACGCGTGATTATATAATTATATAAACTTGGTCTTCTTTTTGTTAACAATAGAAAAAAAACTTAGTCTGAATCACCGAAGGATATCCAAAGCCTCACACAGCAAAAGCTATGTATTTTAAATTAATAAGTATCAGATAGAGGTCTTAAAGCAATCCATGCTAGTGAAAAAAGATTCAGAGCAAGAGTGACACCATTCATCGTGATTTTTGTGTGTGTCAATTACTATAAAAAAATAAAAAGTGTATTCAATTTAAATCCTTGTAATATTTGATGGTAACAGAAGAGTTGCAACTTTTTAGGCAATGAACATGCATGGATCATTGATAAATTAATGATTACTTGCTCTATAATTATAATCATTTTGCGTTTACTAATTAAATTCCTATAGCGTCGAATTCATAATTTTCCATAATTTTTTCATTTTTGTTTGAAACTTGTGTAGTGCACCATAGCCGACCTTTGACCTATTATTTGTCCTCTCTCGTCAAGCAATCCCCAAATTCTGGCACACGATCATTAGTGCTCAATGTTCAAAAGGATAACTATTTTTATTTAAAATTTGACGGCAACTGCTAAACCTAACGTGTATATTAATTATAAGGAGACACTATTACGGTGTGATTTAGATTAGATGCTGAATGAAGTCAAGGAAGATAACTTTCCCTTTTGGAGACCAGACGCAACACGACACTTACGTCAGTGCGCATGTATATATGGTTGTTGGGGCTAATAATACCACCATGAAATAGTATGATACCCAAAACACAACATAGCTATATGCTACGGGACGAATTGCTCACGAATCAACTTTAATATGTTTTTAGCAGTTGAATAGCAAGTTAAGGAACAATAGAAATCAAAATTATAAGTGTTTAATTAAATTTTTATATTTGAACATAGAATTATAATCAAAGTTATCATTTTATTTTTGAAATAAAATAGACCATTCTTACTTTATAAATTAATTTCATAAATTTAACATATTCTTACTTTATATATTTCATTTTGAATGATAAATTTTATATTTAACATGTTCGATCCTTAACGAAAGTAAAATATATTAAATATCTCGTATAAATTAGTGATATGATCAAAATAAAATATATAAATAATGATTAATTCATACATCTTATCAACATGTTTGATTCTTGGTATAAGATATGGTGAACATTATATATAAAGTAACGATATTAACAAAATAATGAATGAAAACTGTGGTTTATACTCACCTTATAATTTATAATTTGATTATATAGACTAGAATTGGTTTTGAAACCATGTTCTAAGTGGTTATAAATCTTGAATCCACAAAATTATTTCATGATAAAATATGTATCAAAATGAGCATATTCGTAATTTCAATCTGTGATTAGTAATTACGATTGAGGCTACAACACTACTCATGGCAGCTACAACTACGACTACATGAAAATAGCATTTAATTATATGTAATTTATACAATTTTGGCAATCGCAACTTAACTGCAGCTGCAACCACAAACACATTATTTATCTACTTGTAGTATTAGGCAACTATATGAATGAAATTAGGAACTAAATAACAAATTAATAACCATTAAGTTGGCTGAAATTGCACCCACCAATGTCACTGATTTCTAACCATCCACATCCGCAGCGCACCCACTTCATTCAAAGCATGAAAAGTGCTAATACAGAGAAAACGAAAAAAAAGGAGCCCACAAATTGTAGAACAGAGCCCACTGTGAAACAATGATGCGTCAATAATAGAAGGTGTGTGTCACCTCTAAACTTTGTTAATTCCACAGCTAGTGGTAGTAATCATATCATGGCAAAGACGAACACACTTTCTTATTCCCACCAGTTAAAAAAATAATTAATATTAAAAAGATATAATACAAATTTGGAAATATAAAGTAATCTCATACTTTCTAAGGTATCATTACTCAGCTGCAGGACCAAATATATTATCTTTTTATTAATAAGTTGCAAATAATATTAGATTGGTCTCATAAATAAATTTTGAATTTCGAAATTGTTGGATGAAAAAAAGTTATTAAAAAAGAGATTTCACTAAACACAACTAACTTCATTTCACGACATAGATCCATCATCGGATTATAAAAAGTAAATGTTACTGTAATGATGAACAAAGAAACCAATAAAATATATATTATAAAAAAAAATAAAAATGCGTTACCTTTTTTTAAGATCTTTATGTTACTCTCTTTGCCTTTGCTCTAGCTTAGGCTACTACCTACTACTTAAAATATCCATTGCTTTCAACTTGTTCTCTCTTGTCTATAAGTTTGCAACTGGCCACAAGCAAAAAACTTACAACTTACCATATTCAGTGAAGAAAAACCATGAAAGGAATTGATTTGTTCTGTGCTTCCTCTGCTTCCACAGCAGTAACTTCTAGAATGCACCATCGTTCTATGGTACACAGAAGAACCAAAAGCTACGACCATGAAAGAAGGAAAAGCCAAGTTCATGTCCCTTGTTCATCCCAATTGCCCATCAACCCAAAGCCTTACTTCGAAAAGCACAGAAAGAGTTCAGCAGATAAGCATAACAGTGACATGCGTAGAAAAAGTTCTGTTGAAGTTAACGACCTATATACTCATCATGCTAGTGTTGATGGTTCATCCACAAGATATCTCCTTGGTGATGCTCCATTCATTGAGTGGGTATCTGAATCTAATAAAATCGCAGCAATGGCTCCTTCTCAGCGTGATGTCAAACACAATCCTATAGTTCGGTCCTCTTCTTCAACTCGCTCCAAGGACCAGGTTTTTCAATTTTTCTTTTGAATTTTGTTCTCTGTTTATTGTTTCTTGTTTCCCAAAAGAATAAAAATTGGAGGGGTACTGTTTATTTTAACGAAAGTTTGGGTTGTTACTTATTTTGTATTCATTTTGTTTTGAGTTGCCATTATGGTGATAACAATTTATCTTCTGAAACCTTCAGGTTGTGGTTTTGAGGGTGTCGTTGCACTGCAAGGCTTGCGAAGGAAAAGTTAGAAAACATATTTCAAAAATGGAAGGTGAGTATGGTTAATCAATACATTGTCTTGGAGTTTCAAAATGAGAGTCTGGATTGAATAGAAGTTTAGAAAAGTTTCAGAGTTTTTTTTATTAAAAAAAAAACCCTATTTCTAATAGAGAAATTGTCAAAAAAAAATAATTTAAGTTTGTATACGAACATGTTCCTAATTAGATAAACAGTGGCAGTAATAATAATTCCCAAGTTCTTGAGCTTTTTTCCCTCCTTCCTCTAAACATCAAAGTTTGATTTTTTGTAATGAAATATAGTAATTTATAACAACCAATTTTGTATTAAAGCAGCATCATTGGTTTTTAGGTCTTGTAGTTCTTCTATACATTAATGTATGGCTAATCCTATATATGTAGGAGTGACATCATTTAGCATAGACATGGAGACAAAGAAAGTGACAATCATTGGAGACGTGACACCACTAGGAGTACTTGCGAGTGTATCCAAGGTGAAGAATGCACAGCTATGGCCATCTCCTACATCATCATCTTCGAGGCCAACGTCTCCATGGTCAACATAATTAGTTATAATTGACACAATATATTATATTAATTTCACCCCTCTTCCTTTTCTTTTTCTTGGCCTTTATGTCTCTAGTTTGCAATGGTTTGATGCACCTTCGAAGGTGTGCGTGTTTGTTTGATTAGAAATTTGATGACTTGTCAAGCACTCTAGCTTAATGTGTGTCGTGTAAATGAACAATGGGTGTAATTTTATTTTGCTGTTTACTGATTCTGCTCACTACTGAAGTAGTAGTTCTTACAATTCTTTACTTGGTCATCTTGTGTCTTTCACGTTAAAACCATATTCTATTGCTTCGGTTGGCAACTGTTACGCTTCCAATTGTTTACTCTTCTTCACTGCAGACTATATGAAACACGCACCTGTTTGGGGGGACAACTTCTGGCCAGTTCTTAAAAGGGAGAAAGGGTAACGTGTATGCTTTAAAATGATGTACCTAAGACCCACATTAATTTTTTCCTGCTTGTGGGGATTACTTGCATGTAAATGATCGACATCAAAGTATTCGTAGAAAGTAAGTGTCTGAGCTAACCACCTTGAATCTGAAAAATCTCGCATAATATTCACACTACAACACCAATGTTGAGTTCAATGGAAAGGATTAGTCTCCTAAAATGTGGTGAATCAACGTTCGAATTATTGTTCAAACACATGCTTAAATTTAGTGCATAATAGTGTATATATGGAGATGAAAAATACTGGTCAACAATGTCCACTCAGACACTCTTTTTCCAATATATAATTTATCATTAGTTGAAAATCACAAATTTTGATAAGTCAATGAGTTACGAGATTATAAATTTTTTATTTTTGATAAATTTTAGCTAATAATAAGGAAAATGTTAGGGGCATTAGAAATAAAAATAAAATTGCCTCTAAATAATGATACCTGAAACATGATTGTTTCGGAACAAAGATACTTGTAGAGAAAAAATATATATGTATGCACACCGCAATGAGAGAAGGACTTATCATCAGTAGCCTGGAGGCTAAGCACTTGAAAAGCAATCATGGGTCTCCAACGTTTCTCTAAGCATGAGAAGCTTGCATACATGTGCATGGTATTAGTATATATGCAATGGGTTCACTCCATTTTGGTTGAATATGATTAACAGCTGCACTTTCTTGGGGACACAAGTCACAAGGTAATGCATGCCAGACAGTGGTAGCAGGCAGCACTCAAGGCCAGCCTGGTTTGTTTGGGACACATTTCTCTTGATCAAACTTTTCCTTCTAACATTTTCTTTTTCATCTAATGATCGATGTTCATACCAAACGCTAGTGGGTCATATATATAGTCAACATTTTTTTCTGCACTCACAGTTCATAATCAGTAAATGTATTATTTGGACTCAAAATCACTATTAATTCACCAAATATCGTTAACACAACTAGTTCAGTTTTTATGTTCTTTAGCTAATGATTAAGATTTGATCTTGACTTAATCATGAAATTGAGACTAAAGGTATCACTTTATCTCTATACAACTGATCTATATATGGGAAGGATTTATACCTCCTTGTATTAATGCGATGTCATTTCATTCTCACTATCACTACATATCAAAGCAGCGAACGTTACTTAATGTGTGACATGCAGGTCCCTTTGTTGGAGGGTTCAGTTTGCTTTTTTTCTTTTTGTCAATATTGTACATTTCTACATTCCCTACAAGTAACGAAATGATGAGAGCATAGTCCACTTTTATGGTTGCGTAGTCCTGCTCAAATTTGACGGTGTGGGGCTACTTCACGCCGTGTGTTGTGTCTTCCTTTTGCTTTAATTTGGAATTCTACTTTTATCTAACCAATTCATGAGACAAAAAGTACCATGTAGAAGCTGAGAGAATTTTATCCATAGTCTACACGATTCAGTGTGTTTGAATAAAAATTTAGTTCAATTTAACCCGTTTTTATTTCAAAGCAATACCTTACTGTTTTTGCCTTTTGGATTTTATGTATTGAAAAGTGAACACATTCCCATGAAACGGATATCCAAACACATCTTGAGTAGTTTACTTTCTCTTCTGCTTGGGCTTGTTTGCTTGCTTTAATTTTCTTTTAGTGTATTAAGAAGTTTAGAGCAAACAATTATGTTCAAATTATTGGCATTGTAGTGAAGCTTTTTGTGATACAGCTTCATCCATCCCTCATTCCTTCTATTTATCAAACCGACGATCGGAAACTTTGTGAGAATAATATAGTTAATAATAATATTAAAAATTAAATACTACTATAAAACAAGTCATAAGTTAACATTATCATATTCCTGATAGAATAATTTCCTATTGGATTGCAATGAGTATATTAGTTTTTTGAAGGAAAAAAAATACCAAGAAAAATGCAGTGTTGATGGAAAATCCTTTCCGCCAAGCGGAAAGTACAAAAAGGGCAACCAGCACGATCCCAATGAAACGGTTTTATTTGTGTTTTATGCAATTAAATACCGAGATAGAACGAAAGATGAAAATGACAGATTGAAGAAAAGAGTAAGGCTGAACACGTTAATCAACTTCATATCTACATGTGATCTAAAGTTTTTTGTTGGGTTCTCCTCCTTTACGAGACATGAATTCATAATTTATGAATTGAAATACATGGGATTAGATCTGCTTTGGACATTCTTTAGAGCTTGAAAGTGATGGCTATTGGATACTTGTAGAAAAGAAGAAAAAAAGACTTGCAAAATCACCCTCAGTTAGGCACTTAGAAAATCAGATTTTGCTTTACCTGAATTTTAAACCACGTAAATTCCACTATAAATCTTTAATGAGTTTAATAGTTTTTCCTGATTCTGTGAGGGCATGCCTTTCTCTAATTTTAGATTTTTTTATATATAATATATAAGGTGAAATAGTTTATGTTTGAAATGTACTTGAAATTTTTAAATACATAAAAATAATTAATTATTTTCTTAAAATAAATTAAACTAAGCTAATATTTGAAAAAAAAATTAAATGAAAAGTTATTTAAATTTATCTCGTGATATAATAGTAAGTACTTATAAGAAATGCTAATGACATTTTTTTAACACTCATTCTAGAACTATATGTTAGGTTTAGGGTTTAAGGATTATAAATTACAAATATTAGTATGTTACCTATTTTATTTAACCGAGTCTTTATCCTAAATGGGTCCATGAAAATTTATACTTTTCAATAAGTTTCGATTAGTAATAAAGAAAGTGAAAAAAAAAGTGACAAAAAAGTTATAATTAATTATAAAATAATTATTAGGATCGTTCTAATGGTGAGAGGTTGGAGTAATATATATAGAGTCTTAAGTTTAAATCATGGTATTATTATTGTAATTGTTAATGTTTTCAAAATTGAATTAATCATTAAACTGATCTAAACAAGAGTCTAAGGTAACGTTTGGTAGTGGAACGAAATAAAACAAAATGGAATGGAACAAAACAATAATATATTTATACTAAGTTTGGTAACAACATAATAGAACAAAATCATGTATTCTATTCTGCATTTAGTGCTTGTTGAACATAACAAAACACCTTGTTTAATTATATATATATATATATATATATATATATATATATATATAAAAAAACG